CCTAAAATGTTTCCTGTATCAAATGTTTATAATTTTCTGGGGTGGAAAGTACACATTCTTCTATATCTTGCCGAATTATAGCTTCATGCAGACCTACTTTGCTCAATTAACATTGAGGTATTTAATATTCCAGTGATATCTGGAAGGGAGTCACCTAACTGGGAGTTGTTCTTTTCTTTAACCTTAGTGGGCCTGAAGACAAAACCCTATTCAACTTCTGAACAACCTTTTCTCCTCAGGGACAGAATGGAAGCAAGGTTTCCCACTCTTTTTGTTCACATGGAAAAGGGAACTGCTTTTTCATGTGCAGCAGGAAAGGAAATTGCTTCCAACCTCTTTGCTGCACATGAGGAAAAAGAATTGTCTCTACCTGCTCCAGCATTGAGAGACAAAGTCTTGCTGAGCTATCTTAGCCACAGGGAGGACTTTAATCCAATCTGCAGCAGAAAAGTGCGGAGAGATTTGTCAGCATTGGGGGAAGATGGTGGCCTAATGAAATAAGAGTTTGGGCCTGGGAATAGGAACATATACAGGGAAGGTTAAAAAAATCAAGATGGGAAACACTTCTTGCACGATAGAAATCCAACCCCCTTTTGTGTGCATGGGGGAAAAATCTCTGGAGGTCCATAGTCCTTGCTCTACAATCTGGAAATGTCTCCATAAGTGATCTATATTTCTGAACTTTCTTGTATCTGGCAGAGGAAGTGACTGTTCTAGCAGCTATTGGTGCTGGGTGCTACTCAAATGGTAAAAATGTACAGTTTTAGGCTGTGCTTGCAGAACTCAGAGCCTGTGATTTATTTGATGATAGTTTACTAAATTAATTCAATTGATTCATACAATTCACTAAACTATAAACAGGACAACCACGTTCTAGTTTACATAAAAGTGTACTATAAAATAAGTAAATAACAAGGCTCAAAAACTTCACAAGTAGGTCTATGCCTAGTGCTCTTCAGTCAGGAGGACACATTGATATTAGGGATGTTCCAAAAATGATGCTCAAGAATTTTCCAGGAGAAGCTAGGATTGGAGGAATCCAAAGCATTTCTATTTTCTCAGACATTTCCTTAGAAAAAGAAAAAGGTTAGGACACCTACAGCCATGGAACTAGGATTATCTAGCTTCCAATAAAAGCAATGAGATGGAAGAGATAAAATGGAAAGAAAAACCATTAAAATGGTTTTCTATTTTATATTCTGCTTGTGCAAATTGACAAAACATACAATAAATCAGATTATTGTTTTCTATTCTGATTCCTTAGCTGATCAACAATTCATTCCTGACTGCTAACAAGATTTTTTAAAAATACATAAAGAATGATTACAAGAAAAACACCCACACACTACAGTATTGGGGACAAAAACTCACAAACCCTTAAATTTAAATTAGGCTCAAGCTGTATCCCATGTGAGTTCTAAGATACTAGAAACCAGATCTTCAGAGTTTTTCTAAAGGCCAGCAGAGTTGGAGGCATTCAAATCTCTGGGGAAAGCTACTCCACAGGATTGGCACAGTGATAAAGCATGCCTTCTGGATCTCCTTAAGTGACACTGCTTACTAGACAGAACTTGGAGCACACCAGCCCTGTCTAATATGGTTATATAATCAGAGATAATTCACCATAGTTGTGGTTAATTTTCAAAATGTTCCTGATAATCAAGGCATGAAATGAAGCCTGGATTCATAAATTGTAATAACCCACACATTACTTAACCCATGATCTGTTGGATAAGCCTTAATTGGTTGAGTACCTAAAACATGCCAAGCCAAAGCCAACCAGACATATTATTGCTTAAAATGATGAATGAAGTTGCTACACTTATATTGTTGACAGATCTAGATGATAGTCTTGAAAATACAGAGAAACAAAGTTTTTGATTATACAATGAAGAGTTGGGTTTACACGTCACATTAAGTTAGCTTTTCCCAGCCTCAGTACCTTCCAAATGTATGGGCTTCTGAGAATTCCAGGATTTGAAGTCCAAATTCTGGACAGTGTCTAGATTGGAAGAGGCTACACTTAGACATAATGTATAGGGTTTTAAAAATCTACCATAATGGTGAAACAAGGCATGGCTTTGAGTAATGTACAAATTCAACATTTTTAGTAAGGTCAGCAAAGGGGAAGAATATGTCAGTTTTCTGGTATTTACTTTGCATTTTACTAGAATCCAGAGGTCTAGCAATTAAAGCCAGGTGCCAAATACGGTCTTTGGGCTTTTCCTCAGTGGTTTAACATGCTATAGCTCTTCTCTGGCAATAAAAATAATTGCTATATGATGGGTATTATGGACTATGGCTTCCATTCTGCATTTACAGGATCTTGCCTAGCCAAAATATGATAGGGTATCTATAGTTTTCAGACAAAGATTGGTTAATATAAAATCAGTGATGCCTGGTATATCTTGCTGACCATCAACTTAAGCTGTTGCTAATCTTAAGCATCTTTGCATACCTCATTTCATACTCTAAACAGTTAACTTGATTCCATTCTCTGTTAAAGGGTGGTTAAATATTTATATTTTAGTATCTTGTTGCTGTGGTGGGCCTTTTTTGACATGCAGAAAAACCACGAAGAGCAAAATACTGTTTATATCTTGGATTAGTGACAAGATATGGTCAATATTATGTGTTGAAGAGGGAATTGTTGGAAGAAATGTCCATCTGGGCTCAGTTCCTAGTGGGAAGAAGACACTGGAAACATGGAGACTGCTTGGAAGGATGGTTTAATGGTGAACCAAGGTATCTGCTGGGGGCAGGGAACTGGGGTCTTTTGTTTCTGTTTCCTTTAAGATTTTTATTTCTCTTTTAGGGGAAATATTCTGCCTTTTTAATATTTCCTAAAACATTTCATTCTTCTATGAGCGGGATGGGTGCTAACTTTCTCGGAATATTGGTATTGCCATGGCATTCTTGTGTCAGTTTTAGCTAGAAATGAAATATTATTGTCTATGAGATAGAAGCAGTCCCTGATTTATGAGAGTTTAATGTTGGTTCAAAGTAGCAATGGCCTTGGAAAAAGTGATTTATAACTGTACCTGCACTTACAACCATCCCCTTACCCCCATGTTCACGTGATTGCAATATGGATGCTTGGCAGTCGGCTTGCATTTATGACCAGTTGCTGCATCCTGCAGTCATGTGATCACATTTAATAACCTTTTTGCTGATTTCCGGCAAAAAATATCAATTAGGGAAATTGGATTAGCTTCATAACTATATGATTCGCTTAACAACCACGGTAAAATTGTCATAAAACCAGATCCAACTTGACATGATTGCAATGTCTTACAATGGAAATTTCAGTCCCAACTTGGTTGTAAGTTGAGGATTAACTGTACTTTTGATATTAAAAAATATAGGTATCTCTCAGCAATATAATTAAATTCATAATCCTATATGCACAAATCTATTCCTGGTTCTATATTCTACAAGTTTTCTTCCAATTCTATGGCTAGTTAAACTTAGAGGAAAAATATTATTTTTGTTTTCCGTGTTGATAAATGTTTTGGAATCCCCCCAAACTGGAGACACTCTGTTAGAAGACTCCAACCTATTTTTTGCCCAACTGATACAATAAGGGCAGTCTCATTGTGCCAACAATATAGCTGGACAGGTATTACATTTGTGATTGCTCGCTTCAAGATATTGAAGACTAAAGATCTAAAATGTTGGTAATTTCTTACAAACTTTGTGTACAATATCTCTAACACTGTCTAGAGTACTGTAGATGAAATTTGATGCGGTGCAGCACATAGATATGTTAAACAGAGAAGAAGAGATTTTTACTAGGGTGGGTGGAATCCTTTGAGCACATTTGATACAAATGAGAAAACAGATTGGCTCATTTGGGCATCTCAGAGAATAAGCAATAGCTGAATTTATATGTCCCCCTTAATGTCTAATTTTGGGAGGGTTCTTGGGACACTGAACCATGAACTAGCTACATGGTTGAGTACACAAAACATAAGGTAACAGATAATCAGAGTTGGAAGGGACCTTGTAGGTCATCTAGTCTAACCACTTACCCAAGCGGGAGACCCTACACCATTTCTGACAAATGGCACTCCAATCTCTTCTTGAAGGTCTCAAGTGATGGCGCTCCCACAACTTCCCAGGGCAAGCTGTTCCATTGGTTGATTGTTCTCACTGTCATAAAGTTTCTCCTTATTTCCAGGTTAAATCTCTCCTTGTTTAGTTTCCATCCATTGTTCCTTGTCTGGCATACCAGTGCTTTAGAAAATAGCTTGACCCCCTCGTCTCTGTGGCAGCCCCTCAAATATTGGAAGACCTCTATCATGCCTCCCCTGGTCCTTCTCTTCATTAGACTAGCCTAGCCCAGTTCCTGTAACCGTTCTTCGTATGTTTTAGTTTCCAGTCCCCTAATCATCCTGGTTGCTCTTCTCCGTACTTTTTCTAGAATCTCAACATCTTTTTAATAGTGTGGTGACCAAAACTGGACGCAGTACTCTAGGTGTGGTCTTACTAAGGCTTTATAGACTTGATCTCGATTGTATCCCTCTTGTAAAATGAAGTTGGCTAGATTGTGGTTCAAGGGCATCTTGTATGTGCTTATACTCAGAGCATCACCCATTTCAGCTGTCAAATATTGTAACTTAAAACATTGCAGAGCTATGGTTTTAAGGAGAGTGCATCTTCCTCTTCCGAATAAAACCATTACTGGCCATAAAGGAGGACGAGGAAGCGCTGAACTACGCCTTCTACTACTGAAGCACTCTCGGTTGTGAAAAATGAAGCCTCTGCAAAAGTTGAAGCAAATCTCAAAAAAAGATTTATTTTATGAAGCAGCCGGTTGCCCGACCCGAGGAAGAGTCTGGGAGAAGAAGAGGAGGAGGAGGAGGAGGAGAAATTCCTGGTGCAACCTCGATCCTCTTCCTCCGGGATTCCGACGGCCGGGTCTTGTTTTCTGGCCGGAAGTCATTTTTCCTCGCGGCAGCGTCTGGTGTCCTAGAAACGGCCCGGCGGCCGAGAGCGGGAGGCGGTTGACAGGATGCTGAACGCGGATCGCCTCTCTCAGCCGGGGCTCGAGTATCTGGGTGAGGCTCCAGCGGGCGCGGCGGGAGGAGGAGGAGGAGGAGGGAGATGGAAGTAGCTTCTCCGCTGTCGCCGTGGGGCAAAGGTCGCCTTCCCGGGAGGGAGGGAGAAGTGATTCTGGGCTCCCTTTCCTTCGATCCTTTCTTGTCTGGGATGATGTGCCTACGGCGGAGCTCGCTTCCCCCGCGGCGCAGAGGACAATCACCTCGCCGTTTGCTGGCTTGGGAGGGCGGGGTTGGGGGCTGTCGGCTTGCCAGCCCTCGGGCCACTTGCCCTGGTCGGTATCTTCCTCTCCCGTCCGAGATGGAGATATCATCCTTTAAGGGCACTGGGACCGAGCAAGCGTATCAGTGGAAGTAACTTGCTCGCTCTCGGAGCTTGGGACGAAATTGTGCTGTGAAGGGAAAACTGGAAATTACTATTAATGTCACCATTTCGAAGAATAACCATTTGAAGTAATAAACATTTTCTTATATTGCAATAATATCACCCTGGAGGTGTCTGTAGGATTAAAGAAGACCCCCCCCCCACCTGTCCCCATGTACTTTTTGCTCCCTTCTCTCACCCCCCCCATCTTTTAACGATATATTATCATTTATTGCTTTATCCTTTTAATGATTACTGGTTTTAATATTGGTAAGCTGCCCAGAATTGCCTCTAGATGAGACAGGTGGCACACAAAAGAAGAGAGAGAAAAGAGAGAGAGAAGGAAGGAAAGAAAGGAGGGAGGGAAGGAAGGAAGGAAGGAAGGGAGGAAGGAAGGCTATGTTACAATAACAGCCTAAATGAGTGATTGTTCATCACCTGGTTCTCTGGCAGTGGTGCTTCTGAGGAAGTGACCTGATTCACATATTGATAAGCCACAGTTTGTTGAACCATGGCACAGTTGTAAGAACTACCAGACACCTGTTTCTTGGGTTCACATAACCTTAAATTAAACAAAGTGTAGTACAATATGTTTTGGTGCAATATGAGAGCCCACCAATTGTGATTTCATTAGTAAATCATAGATCAGAAAATCATGGCTTAACACAATGTGGGAATCTAGTCACTATGCAGGAAATTTCATTTACCACTGTAAAATAGCTGTAAAATTGCTTAATATCTAAATGTTTTATAATTTTCATCCACACATCCCCTCCTAATGTTTACTCTATGTAACTGCACTTATTTAATTGGGTTATTGTGTTGTGTGAACTCTAATTATTTTGACTCAGGAATATACAAATTTTTCAAAATTATCTCAGTAGTTATGTATCCTACTTGAATTAGGATGTAGCAGTCAAGTTGTATCATCCAAACAAACTTAAAATGCTGTCCTGGCCTTTGAACATAGAGATGTGAGCCTAAAGAGGACCTGCTAAAATAGGAAATGCTAGGCATCATCATCATTATTCTATTTCCTTCTCTTCTTGAGTGTTGGCGAGAAAAGGAGTGAATTAGAAACAAAATTGGGGTGAAGATGGCTAATTTTTTCTACACCCCAGCCATCTAGTTGTCAGTTGAACAGATGGTTGGGATACCAGACCATTAGTCATCCTAATGCCTTTTACCAATTTTTTTGCCTGTAGATACTTAGGTTGACAGTCACCTAGAAGTGGTAGTGGGTTTTTGAGTGGATCAAAATCATTTTGAGTTCTCTGTATCAACAAAAAGTTAAAGCCAAATCAAAATTTGACATATCACCTTGGTCTTCACAGGCAAAACAATTAGAAAACCATAAAACAAGGATTACCTTATTAATACCTTATTTTCTCTCTATATAATAATTGTGTGACTTTAGGATGTGCTAAACAGAATTCCAATACAAGTTATGTGTGATATTAAGTATTATTAGGTTAGGGGAAAGAGTTAAAGGTGTCATACTCCAATTAGTGTACAGGAGAGGTTTTGTTTAAAGAGAAAAAATGAATGGATAGTTGAGAACAGACAAAGAATGATAAGTATTATGACTTGAACTGAGATAAGTAGAATAAAACTAAGAGAGTTAAAAAAAGGAAGAAGCTATATAGAAAATGGAAAACGGTAATAAGATATGGAATGATATATAAAAGGAACATGATTTTTGAAGTGGTGCCTGTACGATGAGTTTCAACCCGGGATCAAGCAACTTTCAGAAAAGATGTTTTATGTTTTTATGTCTTATGTCTTGTTTGTTTTTGTATTGGAAGAGAATAATGAAAATGTATAAGACAGATGGATATAAAAAATGTATACAATCTAAAGTTAAAGAGATATAATTTGAATAAATAGAAGGAAAGGAAGTAATAAAGAGAAGTTCGGGATAAGATATGAAGATGAATAGATAAGGTAAATATATATATTAAATTGTGTTTGTTTGGAAATGTGATAACTTGGAATAATTCTGTCTTTAAATAAGATGTTGTATTGGTTTTTTTAGAAAAAGATTTCTTATGTCATTATATTTTATGTTTTGTTTGTTTGTGTATTGTTTTGTAAAATCAATAAAATTTGTTTTTTTTTTTTAAAAAGGATTACCTTATTAATAAATGTATTCTGCAAACAACTTCAATTACAAAACTTAGATTGTTGACTAATATTAAAAGAAATACATAGCAAAAGTTTAGTTTATCTCGTGAACTGGAGGAAGTGAATACTATTTTTTTAGAAGTGGTTGAATAATTCTTTAATATAATCTAGTGAAAGTAAGGAAAGTTTGGAAAAACACCTTTGAATCTTTTTTGGCATTGACTTATGTTCAAACAGCATTCTTTGAAGAGAATAGCAACCTTCCTCAAAGTGCTTTGTTATATTTCTCAAGGTCTTGCTAATAGTATTATTTGGCTGTGAGACTATGGGTAATTGTGACAAGAGAAACCAAATCAAGTTAATCTTATTCAGACTGTTTGTTGCCCAGGGCTGTCATATCAGGTGTTCTTTGAAGAGATGCTTAACTCGGCTTCCTTTTGGAGACGAGTAAACTATCTTATAAACACTCTTTGTCTCATGCACACAAAAGTCATGCAAGTTAAATGGGTGCTTCCAATACCCTTCCATATTCACAATGTTTTCTCTATGGCATTTTATTATAACAAAATATATTTCTGTGCAAAGTTTTTTTCTTTACTCATCACAACATTTATATTCAATATACTTGTAGAAGTTGATGTTTCACAAATTACTTTTCATTGGTAATAAGAAATTGCAATGTCAGTTGCTTTGTTTAATAAGGAATAATATAACTTAACCTTTCTTCCCCAGCCGCTGTTTCCACAAACAACCGCTTGCCCCATCAACTTCCATGCAGAAGGAAAATCAGGTTTATTTGAAATAAAAACAGTTAATTTGCAATGATTTAAGCAGGAAGTATTGATATGTAGCCCAAAACGGGAGCCAAAAGTAATTGCTGAAGTTAAGGATGTTACCAATATGGAAACTAGGTGGTGAAATAAGTTCTAAAATGTTGCTCAGTTTTTGCAAAGTATGCTTAGTTTTTGTAAAATACAATTCAAGTACAAGTGCAGTTGTAAAATACAATTTAAATATAAGTACATCCATTCTTTTAGTGAATGTTCAAAGTTATAACAATACAAAAATGTGACTTATAACTTGTCCTCACACTTCTAACCATTGCAGCATTTCCACAGTCACATGATCAAAATTTGGGCACTTGGCAACTAGCATATATTTACTTTACTTTACTTTATTGTCATTGTACCTTGTACAACAAAATTAAATGGTATCTTCAGTGTACATTATAACTATAAAAATAAAATATTTACAACAGTTGTAGTGTCCCGGAGGCATGTGAACACCATTGCAACCTTTCCAGCTGGCTTCTGACGTGGGAGGTCAGATTCGCTTAATGAGCATGTGATTCAATTCATTTTGGTAAGTGATTTCCTTACCAAATCTGGCAAAAGTCATAAAATTAGGCATGACTCAATTAACCATCAACTTGCTTAGCAATGGAAATTCTGTCTCATTTGTGGCTGTAATTCAAGGACTACCTGTATTACTTACAACAGCGCTGTAAATTAGACGAACATAATTATCACATTTTCTGGAGCTCTGAGCTTGGTTGTTTGCAAACACTTCATTACTGGACTAGATAACATCATCAGTGAGGTAACCACCAAGCTCAGAGAGCACCAAGGAGTCCAGAAAATGTAATAATTATTCAATTCTGCACTAACATATTATCTTCTATTGTAATCACATTTTAGATGCCAGAGTTCAGGCAAAATAATTTTTTCTTGGCCTGTTAATTTTTTTTGACTATTTATCCAAGGAACTTTCTGACTCAAAGTTCACATTCTTAGGTACACCGTGTTTGATTCTGCTTCTCTTGAAATCTTGGTTCCTTTGATGAAACTTGGCCTTTTCAGTGAAGCGGTTTATATATTCCATCTCTAATTGAGGGCTTATTCTTCATAGAGCAATTTTGAAACTTTTAATTATTTTCCCTCTTGAGTTAAGTTCCTTTCCTTCCCCTCTCTACTAGAATCCCTTTTCCTTCATCTTGTGCCAGCTGTGGACATGTGAGAACATGAATCCCTGCCAGAGAAACTCTGCATTTTATAGTGCTTGGGTGTAGTCAGTGCCAGAGATGTTGTGCTCTCTTACAAAAAGGAAATGCTGTGGAATTGGTGTTTTTCTGTCATTACCAGCCAGAGAGTTTTTGACTTTTAATATAGTACCTGAAAACCAGCTCCTGAAACACTGTGTATATGCGTTTTGATTTCTGGTCATGTTTTCCTTACTTTCTAACTTGCCACCTATCTTCATATAATTAAGTAATTAACATGTTATTTAGCTCTGTTAAATAAAACTAATATTATGTTAATTTAGTTATATCAGCAGTCTGGGTTCCTGCAGCACACTAAACCCATTTGGGTTGTTTGTATTTTTTTGTATCATGTGAATACCACTAGCATGATTTTTAAACCATTGTTTTTGGCATAGCAGCCATGAAACCAGACAGTTGTGCAGTAGAGTTGACTCAGCCTTCTATCCTTCCAAGGTTGGTAAAATGAGGACC